GAGGCTGGCTCTACAGGGTCTGGCTAAGCTGGTGAACCATGTGAATGTTAATACATGCTAGATTGTTATTTTTCCAACTATGAAAAAAGCTAAGTAAACTTTACCTTTCTTTCAGGGTTTCTTACTCAGCTAAATTACTGCAGCTTAACAAGTTACCACGAACCAGCTGAACTGCATTTTCACACACAGGCAAGCAGAGATCACAAAAACCAGAAGAGAATTTGCATTAGCTTACCCCTCTCCACCACTGCCTAAGCTAATGCAATTACTTTACACTTGCTACAAGCCATAAGTAGGCACCTGGAAAGGTGCTGTAATTGATCTAATTCTTAGTTACCTGTTAAGCTGCAGTAACTTACGTACCTAAACCTTTAAAATGTAGCATGAGTAATATTATAATAAAAGAGCTGTAAAGTACATACAGCCATTTATATGGTATGCTTGCCTCTTCCTGTGTTTTACTTTATTGTTCAGTCATTCAGCTAGAATATAATCATCCTACCATTTTCTTGCAGAGCTGTTTTTTTTTTTTCCTCCCTACAACAATAAGCTCTGCACAACCATTTGTCTACATGGCTGTATTTTAACTGAAATTCAAACTTTACAAGATACTGATGGGAGCTGCAAAGAAGCTGAAATTCTGGCAAATAAAAAATTCAACTTGTTTTTAATTTGTCTCAATGTGCATTCACACCTTTTGTATAAGTACACATATATGTAATACAATTCATATCTACATACAGCTGAGGAACTCTAAGAAAAATGATCAGGAAGCATTTTTCAGTGGCTATTCTGGCAACTGCAATTTATACTTGGCAGGCGGGCACTTTCAATATACTTGTAATCCAATAATACTACTAAAAATATTCCAGGTTTAGATAGCACCTTTCATCAGCACTTCTCAAACTGCAAAAGCACAGGCTTCCTGCTTCCCTGTGAATACTACCATGCTAGTTAAATCACCTAGGATACTGCTGCACCATTTCAGCATATGCTATCTATGCTGAAGGCTTTGGACAAAGCTCTGAAACTGACTTCTGCTAAAAGAAAAAGGCTTTATCTCCTGTGCCAGAACAAACTATGCTGATTCTTCTTCAATACACAACTAAAATTTGTATTGTATGGAGGTCCTTGTGATAATGCTGGATAAAAACTTTCATGACTTAAAACTCCTCTATCTAGAAACTTAAAATAGGTGCAGATAACATCTGCACATTAAATATGCAGATTTACTTATGATCACCATCTATCAATGATCTGAAACTGTACCTAGAGTTAAACACAAATGCTGAGATTTCATTGAAATGCTGCAAGTAGCTCAGGACAAATTATATTACAAAATATAGCACCTGGATCGCCCAATTACTTAGTAAAGATTTACCTGCTGTGGTATGATGGGAAATTAAGACATCCTACATGACTGAGTAGCTTCTATTTTTTTGATACTTTTAATTATTATTCTTATTTTTAAATTAAAGATGGTACATTTAGAGTCTCCTACTTCACTCTTTATGATCAGATTAGAGACAGTGTAAAACTTGATTCTGGCTTTCCTAGCATTAGGGGTTTTTTTGAAGCAACTTATTTTTCATATTTTAAAGTAAATAATTTTCTAGATTATTTAATAAAAAAAAACACCAGAGAAAATCTGTGTTGCTATGTGGTAGAGCTGATGTCACTATTCACCTCCCTTTTGTTATTAAACAGGTATCATGTTTTAACACTGAATGGCATGTTTTTTTCCTTCTGTGTTTCCATATATTAAGCTATCTTGCAAAAATACTCTTTAAATTTCTTTCAACGTTTCATTATTTCATTTTTTTATTATTATTATTTTCCTTGGGGTTTTTCATTTTGAAAAGAATACTGTTAGAGTATATATATTTCCCCCCAATTCAACCCATCTGCAAGATATATAAGATAATAAACACACTCCACTTATTTCATTAAAATAATAATAATTATAAGCAATTCAGTGCTGTAACTTAGAGATTAATAGCCAAAGGAAATACTCTTTAGAAGAGGTATTTCTCTTGCCTAATCCTGAATTTGAAATGTTAAGTAAACTACCTTGCATGTTTAAAAACTGTGCCAGTAAGAAATTTTTGCACTACTTTTATTTTTGTTTTTTTTTTCTTAGTGCAAACAGGTTGATAATATTTAGGCGCGTCTGTTGAAATAATTGACGGCCCCAGACTTGCAAAGAACTATTTAGGCTTAACTGTATTTCAGATCAAACCTACTTGAATTAACAAGGACTAATCTTGGGCAGTAAACCTTTCCACTTAATAAATCCTATTTAAAATGTTATGGAAACAGTATTAGATCAAATTTAGAAAGTGATCTGCTATTTAATATTTTTTAAAATTAGGAATTTTCTTGACATGAACATTAAAACCAAGAATGCATATCTCGTATGTCATTAGTTGTTACTTTAAACACAGAATAAAGATTTTCTTGAAAGAAAAAGAAAAATATCACTAAAAACAGTAACAAACTTTTGGGGCAGAGTTCAGTGCTCAAGATAAAGTATTTTGAAGATATCTATGACTACATGATATTCTTCAAAAATGTACCTAGCATACACAGCCCAAGTGAATTAAAAAACCCCTTTCTTCCCTTATAATGTGTTTTAAACTTGAATAACCTACTTTTGCACTCTTTTTTGAAATGTATATGTACCTAATATGTCTGGATACAGATACATTTTTTTGCTTAACACAAAGTTCTCAGAGAATTTCCTCACTATATTAAGGACCTACCTGATGAGCCAAATCCACCAAGTGCAGAGCCGATAGCTGCTCCTAAAGAGCTGCTACTTCCAAAGCCAAGAGATGTGCTGCCTGGTTGGCCAGGACCATGTGAAAAAAGGGAACTGCTCTGGGAGTTATTGGTCAAAGAGTTACTGCCATAAAATGAATTGGATTGTAGGCTACTATTTGTTTGCTGTTGCTGTTGCTGTGGCTGGGCACCAAGTGGCCGAAACAGACCGTTCGTGGCTCCCGCGAGATTGTTTGCTGTTCCTCCAGCTGAAGCAGCTGCAGCTGTAAAACACACATTTTCCATCATAATTACCCTCTCAAACATTTCTGACTGAAAACGGACTATTCAGATCTAAATCATATTTTCCTGAAGTCCTCTTCAACAAGTAGAAATGGACATATAAAAGAACTAAGAGACTCTATGGAATTACATAGCCTTAATTACTGGAGGAAAAAAATAACTTCAAGACAGCAGGTGTTGTAGGATAATCAAGGCTGTACAATTGTTCATGTAATTGAGGGAATTTTCACTGTAAACATGTAAGACATTACTGTTTACTCAACTCTACTTTTATACCCACAGTTACAATAGCAGAGTTGCAGCCAAAAGTCAAAGACATCTTTAGCTACTCATGTCAGAAGCGAGCTCTGCACAGAAGAAGATGTTACAGATTCATTTAAAATCTAATTTTACTAATAGATTTATCTGGTGTAAGTATTTTGGATTTCACTAGAACAAATGCAATAATATAATTGTTCAGTAGTAGTATCAGACCCTATCATTGTAAAAGGAGAAAAAGAAAAGTAGATATTTTACATATAACTTAATTCTCCTCTTCTGCTGTCCATTTTATGTATTTTTTTCCTTGCCACACTGTTCAGGAGAAAATACTTTCAGGAGAAAAGCACAGCAAGGCCCCAGAGCACTCCATCATCTTCTGCCAGACTAAAGCAATGAAATGATGCTTCCTAGAGGACACTGTTTAGGGGACTGATGAGAAGTGCATGTCATATGCATGAGGAAAGGAAATCTAACAAGCAACATTTGCAATAGCATGCTTGTATATGTATGGGGAGAGGATTGTAAATTTCAATTCAAAAACCCCTACATCTCTGAAAAAACAGCAGTATCTCTCAGAGAAAAGGAAGGAACAAGAGTAAGAAAGAGAGCATCTATGGTATACCCTTCACAAGTAGAAAACTTCAGAGATGCCTACAAACACATCAACAACATCAAATAATATCCAACCAAGATTACTGCTAAGGTTCAGTACAAAAGTGGAAGAAACCTCCATGCAGGATCAAATACTTACCTGCTTGTGCTGCTGCAGAACTGATGATAACAGGAGTTGAGGCCACCAATCTGACTGGTGCTCCAAGGCCAGTTCTTGCTCCAGGACCTACTACCAAGGCACCAGTCTGATCGTAATAGGCAGTGGGAGCTAGTACTTGATAGCCTACACAACAGAGGATACAAGAATGAGTAGTACAGACAATCTCATGTAGCCAGCCTTTCTTCTCTCCTTGAAATATTCTGGCAATGAACTACAAGGGGAAAAAGAGCATTTCTGCCACGTCCCTGCAGAATGTCAACTGGATAGGACAACAAAAACCAATGAACACTGTACAACAGCATGCCAGAATCTTATTTAGCGATGCCCTATGGAATTCTTTAAAAACTAGAGTAAGAACTAAGTTTAGTGGTCTAAAGCTGAAGGTTATTTTCAAGGTTAAAGTTACTAATGCCATAATGAAAAGGAACAAGGACAACACAACTGGTTATAGCTGGATCAAATCAACTTCTTTTAGCAATGTAAAATATTCTACATTTCTCTTGTTCTCCTTGGTACATGGGAAGGGTACTGAAATCTGTACAATTAAAGGGCTGAACTACATACAAGTTTGGCAACTCCATATATTACCCAGCCACACTTAAAAATCCATCTCCAAAAAACACATTAGGACAGGAATGATCTGTGTGCAGGAATACCTTGGACCAGTCAGTTCCACAGGAAAAAGACTGTAATCCAAGTATCCTTTAATTCAGTTGAGAGCTAAGAGTTGAAACAGGAGGAGAAAAAAGATGATGAACTGAAAAAGCAGAAAAGCAACCAGTAGGAAGGAAAGCAAAAGAGAAAAAGAAGAGCAAAAGAAAATAACCTTCCTGTAGGACAAGAGGAAGAATTTTCAAGCTTTGGCACTTTATAATGAAGTAGAAGATTTGGAATAAGAATCCCTAAAAAATGAAAGAGCTAGAATAGTCTAGGAAGAAGTGCTGACAATGTAAAGGTAACACTAACTTTTGGGTTGCCTATCCTTACAAGGCAATAAAACAAGACAGAAGAGACTTTCAGTGTTCCTCCCATGTTCAAATATATACGAATGCTATTAAGAAAAAAGTCAAGATTGCAAAAATCACACATCTATTTTTGTATGTATAAGAACCAAGATTCTGTATACTATTTAAAGTCAGTTTCCATATATGTTCAGAACTAGGTCTAACAGAGTTCTTTCTGAAATAAATATGACCCTGAACATAAAGACTTGGGCCTCTAATTCCAGGTGAGTACCTCAGACACCAGGCTTCCAAGTCATATTTTCTCCCCCTCAATTTCTAAAACATCTGTATAATTTCTTCTGTCTAGATGTCTTGCTCCAAAATGGAGCTGGGAAAACCATCTGCCTACTGCCTTTGTGGTTACAACACTCTGCAGGAAGCTGGAGACACAGGTCCAAATCCTCTAAGGACATCTGAAGATATGAAGGAGACTCAAATAGTAACTGAACAGGAGGGGAGTGATGAAAATCTAGATCTTCAGGTTAAATTCGTAGTTCTGGAGAGGAATGCATTATACTGGTTATACAAAGTTGTCATTACTATCATTCCAAACCTGTTTGTCCTCATTGCTCACTACTTGGTTCTGCACTCCAGGTGCATCTACCTTCACTTCCTGACTAACAGCACCAGAAGACAGTTGCCCTGCACAGAGCTGGTCTGAAAGTCTGGCTAATTAAAAACACTCCAAACAGGTTGAATGGATTAGGAAACCTTTGCTATAGGTTCCACTGCCTCTTCCACCTACAAAATTATGCTGTGTTGCTCCACCACCTTCAGCCACTATGAAAAATGGGTACATTCCCAAGGT